TCGCCCCGCATCTTCTGACACCCGCATCCCTTTTCCACACGACCCGCAAACCAGGTTTAGGGGTCCCGCATACTGGCTTAGCGTTGCCCCCCCCCCCCCCCTCCCCCCCCCCCAGCTTCCTCCCCTCAGAGCCACTCCAGGCCAAAGCCAGCCAGGCGCCCGCGGCCTATCCGGCAGGGCTATCCGAGGCAAGGCGGGGCGGGGGCCAAGGCCGAGGCCCCACCCAGCTCCGGCACCTCATCCTACTCCTCAGCCGCCGCCGCTGCAGCTCCGCCGGGCGCGGCTCTTTTTCCCTTCAGCTTCTCTGCGGCCCTGCAGGCTTACGTTGTCAATGACGACGGGCTGGTTGGCGATGATATCGTAGGACTCCATGGCCGGGGCCGCTGGGCCTGGCCGAGCGACGACTCTGGACCCGCCCGCCTCAGCCGCTGGAGCTCCGCCGCCGGGCCCCGGGAAAGCACCACCCTACCTCGGCGCACCCTAACGCGCCACTGGGCAAACAGGAGATGGACAGGCAGTATCAGCCAATCGGCGGCGGCGACACCTCAGCGGCCTCCCCGCGGACGGGCGGGGCTTCCGCTCGCGGCCCGTCGGCGATTGGCTCCTCCCGCGGCCGTGGAAGGCGGGCCTTCCGTGTCAAGTTCGATGGAGCAAACGCCGGAAAGGGAGAAGGGCGGAGGTAAATGATGTCATGGTCCGTTCTTAAAGGGACAGCGCTGTATTTTTTATGGTAGGGGAGACTTTGGGCTTTCCCTCAGCGGATGAAAGAAGTGGGGGGGGGGGGTGGACTCGGCAGGCAAAGGAATGGGATGGAGGCTTGAGGGGGAAAGGGAGGAGATTTAACAGATTAATAGACTGGGTCTATGACCCCTGAAGGTCATCTAGTCCAACCCCTTCGCCCGAGCAGGGCTCACTACACCATTTCTGGCAGATGGCAGTCCAGTCTCTTCTTGAAAGCCTCCAGGGATGAAGCTACCACAACTTCCAAAGGCAACTTCTGTTCCATTGAATATAAAATACCAGCGTTGGAAGGGACCTCAGGGATCATCTAGTCCAAGCCCACCTGAGCAGGAGACCCATCTGGCAGATGACAGTCCAGTCTCTTCTTGAAATCCCTCAGTAATGAAGCTCCCACAACTTCTGAAGGCAACTTCTGTTCCATTGAATATAAAATACCAGAGTTGGAAGGGACCTCAGGGATCATCTAGTCCAACCCCCGCCTGAGCAGGAGACCCTGCACCATTTCTGGCAGATGGCAGTCCAGTCTCTTCTTGAAATCCCTCAGTAATGAAGCTCCCACAACTTCTGAAGCCAACTTCTGTTCCATGGGTTGATTGCTCTCACTGTCAGACATTTTCTCCTTATTTCTAGGTTAGGAATGCTAATGAAAATACCTAATAAGGCAATGAAACTGAAAGGAATCGTGGCAAAGGCCCAAGATTACTTCCCCAACATCCTTTCCCATCACTCCCAACCAGCAGGTGAGTTGTGAGTCCCTAATGAAGGCAGGTGGGCTTAAGCCCTTTGGGTTCACTGGTTGCATTACTTGGATGATCAAGCTTGTCTTGCAAACCCCTTGGATTTCTGCACGAAGCTCATGGATTCCTCCATCCATGATGTCTATGAAGAATCTCAGTCATCTAAGTTGTGGTCGTCCCAAACGTGCTTTTTCAGGAAGCAACTGGCCTTTCGTGTTTTGTTTTGTTTTTTGAAGACATTTCGTTTCTCATCCAAGAAGCTTCATTAGCTCTGATTGGATGGGGGCGGGGAATGGAAGGATTGATATGCCTTTAGTTGCTCAAATGGTATGGGGTCTCCTGCTTGGGATGGGGAGCGGGTGACCTACAAGGTTCCTTCCAACTTTGTTCATCTCTTAATTCTCTGAACTCAAAACCCTAACCCTCAAATACTGGCCTGATGGAAGATGCAGTCCAACTCCAATCCTCATCATCCCCACCCCACAGCAGGAGCGGAGAGGATGATGGAAGATGGAGTCCCACCTTTGCCCAGCACGCTGGGGGTTTTAGGCTTGTGCGCCCTCCCTGCCCCCTTCCCACACCTGGACTATTCAGAGCCACTCTCCAGCGGCCGCTTGCAGAAGCCCTGAGCCGACCCAACGGCGGCTGCCGCGTCTCTTAGGCGGGCCCGGAAGCCGGCGAGGCCGGGGTGACGCCGGCGAGAGCGCGCGGGTTGCGCAAGGCGAGGCGGCCTGGCCGGGCTCATCCGGGCTTTGCGCGCTCTTCGGCGGCTCTTTCGATGTCCTGCGGGGGACGCTGAGCCGGCCCAGCCGCGCTGGGGCTTCTCTTTCCCGGCCATGGCGGCGGCGGCGGCAACACTCCAAGAAGCTTCCGAAAGGTGCGTCTCCGGCCGGGCACTGGCGAGGGGTATTTGACCCGGATTCTGAGCCTTGCCCATCATCCCCAGCCAAAGGGGTCCCCCCCTTTCCCATCATCCCCAGCCAAAGAGGAGCCTCCCCACGGCCCGTGACACGCGCCTTTCCAGCCGGCCGTCTTTCCCCAAAGGCTGCTCGACCTTGGCGCAATCCAACCGGCTCCGTGGAGGTCGGAGGTTTGGAGAGGCTGATGGGCGCCTATGCTACCCTTCCCTCCCCAAAAGGCGAGCCCTTGGAGGGGACCAGGAGGCCGCCCTTTGGCCCTGAAAACGGGGCTCCGGACCGATTTGAGGGCCACCTATCTACCCTACCTAAGGTGGGGTGCGCGCGCCTTGGGAACGGCGTGGAGCCGGTCCCTGCGGTTTTTTTTTCCTTTTCGTTTTTGGAGAGCCAGACTGGAATGGAGCCCATTCAATGGCTTGGATGAATATGTTCTCGTCCCCATCATCCCCATCCAAAGGGGACCCCCCCCTTCCCTATCATCCCCATCCAAAGGGAACTCCTTACCCATCATCCCCAGCCAAAGAAGACCTCTTGCCCATTATTCCCAGCCAAAGGGGACTCTCCCTTCCCTATCATCCCCAGCCAAAGGGGACCCCCTTCCTTATCATCCCCAGCCAAAGGGGACTCCTTGCCCATCATCCTCAGCCAAAAAGGAGCTCTTGCCCATCACCCCAGCCAAAGAGGACCTCTTGCCCATCATCCCCAGCCAAAGGGAACCCCGCCTTCCCCATCATCCCCAGCCAAAGGGAACCCCCTTCCCCATCATCTCCAGCCAAAGTGGAGCCTCCTCTGGCCTGGGACATAGGTCGGGCATCTTTCCCCCAAGGCTGCTCAACCTTGAATGGCCGTAGGGAGGTCTCAGAGGCTGATGGACACCTATGCTGCCTCCGCCCCCTCCCTTTGCCCTGCAAATGGGGTTGCGGACCGGTTTGGGAGCCACATGTCTGCCTTACATAATGTGGGGTGCACGTGCCTTGGAGTCAGCCTTCCACCGGGTGTTGTAATATAGATGCATGTGGGAACACAGTGGAATTGGTCCCTGCGGGTTTTTCTTGGCCAGATGTTGGGGAGCCTTTTTAGAGAACCAGAGTGGGATGGAGCCCATTCAGTGGCTTGTATGGATATATGTTGTCACTAGGATGGGGGTGGATGGAGTGGTGGTATTATTTTATTATGTTTATTATTATTTTATTATGTTTTATTTTATTATTTTATTATGTTTATTTTATTATTTTATTATGTTTATTTTATTTTTATTATTATTATTATTTCTATCATTTTTATTTCTTTTTAAACATTTTTTTACATTTTGTTCTTATATAAACAATCCATCTTCAGGAGGCAACTGGACTTTCTTGTTTTTTTCTTTGAAGATTTTTCGCTTCTCTTCAGTTCTGACTGGATGGTGGGGCATGGAAGAATTGATATTCCTTGCAGACAGCTGGTCATTTGCATCCTTTTAGAGGGTCGTGGAAGTCCAGTTGCCTCCTGAAAAAGCACCTTTGGGACAACCACGAAGTAGATGACTGAGAATCTCTACCGACTTTTAACCATACAATTTGGGATAAACACCCTTTGAATGGTGTGGGAGGAGGAATAGATTTCCAGAGGAAAAACTGCAGACTACAGGAACCATTTGCACCACTCAGGTGACC